CGATTTCAAAATATACACGCAACATAGAAACAAATCAATTCAACATTTCTGTGTTCACCTTTCTTCGTAGTTATCGCGCCTTGAAACAGAATGTTAAGGGTGTCAATATCGATACAACATATTGCTTCGCCGTTCAGACCGTACCGTCAAGCCTATTTTTATACAAATACTGCTAGCACCAGTTCTCGCACGACGCTGTATATAGTCTGTAGTGAATGAAAAAAACACGGAAATGACAGAATAACGATGCGGTGACATACCACGCCAACATAGTAAAAGAAGACATTATTATTTAAAAAGACACTGAGAAAAGCTTGAAATCTAAGTACTATAGCCAGAATGTTTGTTTGTGCTTCGAATGCAAACGCGTAACTGTCCGATTACAGAAGATAAAAACTATATGATCAACAAATAAACAAAATGCAAATTCAATCCGTTGTTTTTAGTCCGACATGGTATGTAAATGCACGCGCGACGTGTTTATCCAGTTACGCACCAAATGCATCACGCGCAATAAATTCAGACCGACGATAAAGAAAGTATACGATATGATGTTTCTTTGATTGTTTGTTTGTTTCTCTCCTCACGCTACCATTAAGTCGTATCTGTCAATTGTTCGATCTTTGTTTTCTAGTTTTTAGGTCATGTTAGCATTCCTCTATGCATGAAATTTCTTCGTTGCATGTTAAAGCAATGTAAATGTAAATGAATATTAACTCTGAAAACAGAAAATAAATTAAGTAATTTTGAACATAACATGGTTTATGTACGTAGATTTAACGCTATATACAACTCACGTATACACATTTTGTGTGACATATATAATAACTAATTGTTCGGATTGGACACCTACGTCTGTGTCTGAACCAAAGTCCAAATATATCATGACACTTTCGGTGCTTTGGGGATGTTGAGAGATTCCATTGCATGAAAGTTAGTATGATCTCCATATGGCAAACTCCTGTGCAAAGTGGCATCGCGAACTGGAAAGTCAGGGTCATTGACCAACAATATGGAGCAATCTATTTAGTACCGTGGTTTCCTGCGAGTAAACATGTTCTACGGCAACTAATCATATATTGATTTTTATGAGCCTTATGCTATGTCAGAAAATGTATCCTAAGTTTTATTATGACAGAATATAACGACTTAGACGAAAATAGGGGGTATCATTTATTGCTGTGTTCAGAAAAGTTAACAATGTAGAAAAATAAAACTTTATATCAATATTGAAATGCATTGAAATAAAATTGTCGTTGCGCAACACACGAGTTGTTTTTTTATATCTCCGAAAGTACAATGCACGGGTTTCTTTCTTTTCTATCGTTACCCGTACATCATTTGCAACATATTGTAATATCGAAATCGGTATATACAGATTAATAGTACGCAATGACTTAAAAATAATCTCCGTTGCGGGCAAAAATAGAAGCAATATCTTGTACAATTCGATGAATCAGAGGGAAGTAATACACATGAGTATACTCATGCTATCATTTCAGCGCGCTTTACCCGATTCGTGGTGTGTGAATTCATCACAACAACCGATCATAAAAACGCTAAGCAAGTCTTTGTTCTTATCTTGAGTCAAAATAATCAATACATACGTCCAACTGTAAAATATAACGGCACTCAACCTTCAAGTCAAGAATATTCTGTTTTAAATCGATCAGTATAATGCGAAATTGCCTTGACAACGACTACTATATACGGCTTTATTTATGCTGCACTTGGTTTTGCTAAAGATAAATGGGGAAATCAAGCAAGTTCATTTCAATGAATGAATCTCGCATGCACCATACTAGATTAAGTATTATTCGTGACAATGGGCTGCCTAATATTGATCCTTGATATAGCAGTTAGAGCGTATGGTGTTGTTGATTTCGAATTGTTACCCTGTCTGCTGTGGTAGAATGAGCCACGTCTTCTCCAAATAAATTATATTAAGCATAACCTTATTATACGCATATAGCTATCTGTATTTTATATTTTAATGACGAAAGCTAAATCATAAACTACGAACGTTAAGCGGCAATATTACATTTAACATTTCAAGTACAATAATGACAATACTGTCTTAAAATGTTTAATATTAGCTTCATTTATTGAGACCAAGACATACATAACATATAATCTGAAAGTGAATTAACATTTATGTCATTTATAATAACCAATGCATTTTTCATAATCATACACCCGTTTATTATATTTAATAATATCATTATGCTTTGCTTTAATTGTTATATTGGTTTTAAAGCGAGATACAACTTGGGTTATTATAATAGCAATGCAATATACCAAACCATACGTTCAGTTTTACTAAAAACGTTGATGCAGACTTGGCATGACCTGTCATGTTCAAATGCATAGCGTCGCGGCATAATTTTTTCTGGTAACACGTATATGATTCCTTGGATCAATGGGAAATTACAGCATAAGACGACTTCAATCAACCACTAGTATACAAATTGAAGACTTTCAAATTAATCAAATAAAAGAATCTTTCAAATTTCCGGAAACTGCGAGTGACTTATACCACTGAACAGTTCTGCCGTCATGTTTATACATAGTAATCCTATACAGTTGAATGGTTTCTTTTATGCATTTACAAATGATTCGAGCGTGGTATGTTCCACAAAAGCATAATAGCAAACGGTTTAAACTAGACTTACAACTCCATTGTGTTCACGAAGAGTTTAATCCATATAATATATGTTCATACAAATCCAGAAGTAGAAAGACATTCCGGAAATGCAAAGATAGATACATATTATTGGATGCAACGTTTTAAAAATGTACATCACAGAGACAATATTCACCCGGGAAAATTACATAACTACAATTTACAAAACACTGTTTACATGAGATTCTTTGTTAAACTTCAAATTAAATCTTTATTCGGAATTTTGATCACAATATTTAGGCAATAGAAAACGAAATAACATGATATAACTAGTACTCCATAGATATTTACTCAATTCAATGGATCGGGGTATAAACCGCATGGCGGAATACGTAACTGGTCATATGTTGCCCGACCAAGAGACAAGAGGTAGGCATACAATTTATCACTGGTCGCTATACATGACAAATTTATGAAAATAATATTTGAGTAAAAAACTGGAATCATGCATACAAATTAATGATAAATTATTTCACTGAGATGTAAGATCGACGCCTTGACATTGCCAGTTTTGAACTGTATCAGAATAATGTGAACCAACATTTTTTTTTATTTTAAATGTAATCATCCGTATTTATTTCAATACAAGTTGACAATACTTTGTCACATATAATCACACTGTGTTATTGTATAGAATAACTCAATCAGCGAATTATAGAATGTATAAATTACCAACAAATTAATACGTCGCATAACCTCAATTCCTCCCTTTGATAGACATGCTATTTTTGATGATAGTAACGATTTGTCTATCGTTACAAAATATCAAAAGTGATTGATATCTCGACCGTCGTGAAATACAGTACCGATCTGTTGTTGCACTTAAAACGTCTATGGAGGTAATTGGGTTCTGTTAAAGGTATTTCACCATTCATCGTAATTTAAATGGTTATCCTGCAATTTGAAGAGTTTGAGCTTCCACAATAAATCTTATTTAGTTCGAATTTACTCCCCGCAGGCTCAGATGCGCATGACGTAAGTAAACGTTACAGCATGCGTACACTCTGGAGGGTTCCATCCATTCACATTTAATTACGATGTAAGTCTGTCATCAAAACATAACTTTGCTATACAGTGATAAATGAATGAATTACTAAACGTTAAGAATTTTCTGTAAAATACTTCAGATAAATAATGTTGACCAGCTCGATACGACCGACAGATAATCCGTTGGCATAACAGCACAAAACTCCGTAGTTTAATAATAATTACACATAGGTTGTAAGAACTCGTTTTACAGAGGCACACTATTTGTGTCACAATATTTATTTAAAAATACTAATTTTAACTAAGATATTAAACAATGGTACTGTGAAAGCATTTATTTTTCACTGACATTCACTATTTTGATATTGTGCGCATACTCGCTAGATTTTAAATTCACGATTTTTTTAGTGAGACAATGAGTTTCATTGTTATTTTTACATGTTTACGTAGATATAATTTAGCGGGTTTTATTTATTAGCGAAAATAGCGATATTCGAACCCAGTGCATAATTAGTGCATTTACAGTTCCATTGTTTTTAATCAGCAATATTCGGAAAATGAATCAATTTATATTAGGTTAACCTTGAATATAAACGCGTGTATATTGCATTTATTTCGACGGTATTCCTTGTTACCATATCATGGTATTTCGGGCAACATTTTTTGGTCACTCCTTTGTTCAGGAATTTCATTATACGTGTATTTGTTCGGCTATAAATGGCAGAACCATGTGTCACATTCATGTGAGCATCATTGTATGTCCTGAAAATCCGATTATCTCGCTTGGAGAATATTTCATGAGTTGTTAAAATACATAATATTATATTTCTTTCAGAATTGACCTATTTAAAAAATGTCAAGCAGCTGTAACGTTGTGTCTGTTTAAGCAGGAATTATTTTTTTTAAACGCAGAAACATCAGTATTTATCATGAACTAATTATGAACTGGATATATTGTTTATGGTGATATGTCGAGAAATTAAAAGATGAGTATGCTTTATGTTATCTGTCAATCCCCTACTAAATGCTTCACATCTATATTTAACCCGAAAACAGATTTGAATATTCACGTTTATAATACTCCTGCGCGCCCATAACAAGGGATCAGAATCGCCATATTGTCAATTACATCAGCTGGGTCACGTGATATTACATTGTCTGATTTTTGCAAAAGTCTGTCGCCGACCAGTAAATATGTAAATTTGCAAAAAAACAACAATTGTCTACTGAATAATAATTCAATTCAATGTTAATATCTTGTCCTAATGTGAAGTATATATACCGTTTTGATAATTTAATCTTCGATAAGTATAATTGACAATGTGATTTGTTACAGCGTTACTTCGGACACTCGAGTTGTTCTCATGTTGCTGTTAAAACTTCCTCGCATTGGACGTAGGCGAAAAAACGTTCCGTTTTCCACGCTGTTTTGGTCTTGATTCCCGCAGACAAAACATCGGCTCCAGAATGCGCGAATGAACGCCCTTCTTCTATTCTGGCTCCCTACGCTATAAAGTATGGGACTCAGTGCTAAGTGAACCAGGAGTAGAATTGTCTGAAGCGCATGAAGGCATGAAATTGTCCGCGGCTCTATGGATGAAGTGTTTGACATCAACGTATATGTGGAAAGTAACTGGTTCGCGGCAACGGGGGCAAAGCACAAAAAGAACAGCATCGTGATGGCCACGCAGAGCATCAACACGCTTCGTTCCTCGGTCGTGGCTTTAGAGATTTTGCTGTTTTTAGGTGTCATATGCTGATTCATTTTGAAGACAGCCGCGATCACAAAGGCGTAGCAGATTACTACAATGCACACAGGCAGTACCGTGAAACAGGTGAACACACTGAACCAGGCCTGTAGCGTCGTGCTACTGTCGCTGTAATTATGAGTTAACAGGGCGAATACACCCATTAATAGACCTATAATCCACGTTGATATCAGCAACACAATTACGCGTTTTTTACTCTGTAAATTCAGCCGATTTGCCTTAAAAGGGTGACATACAGCGATGTACCTTTCCACGCTTATCAAAGTGATCGTCAGCAGGGCCGTGCAAACGAAAGTCGGGGTGATGAAAATCCACATTTTAGAAAAAATATCCCAAAACTGCACCACTTTAGCGTCGGCCATGGAGATCGTCCCGTTTATAGTCAGTCCATTCGCGGACAAGTAGATAATCTCGGTGAAAATCATCAAGGTATCTGCCGCTGCCAGGTTGATGAAATGAAAATTTGGAATGGTACGCATTGAGCGCACTCTAGCCACCATGATAACGAAAGAAAGGTTCCCGAGTAAGGCAATAGCGATGAGAATGCCTCTGCTGTAAAGCAATGCTTGGTAGTCAATATTGCAAGCGGTAGTTCCGCCACTGAAGGAACTGTTATCAGTACCGTTGACATGCCCACTTGACTCCTCATACACCGTAGCTGCGACTAGGGGCGTCGTCTCTGCCATTATAGTAGTAGATCTGCAACACAAATAGTACAGTTATAGGTATATCATGATCACCATTGAACAACTACGAGCGTCCGTGCTGGGACAGTTTATGAGATCCCTGTGCGTACATCACAGCTTTACATTTACACCAAAGCGTCGAATGACTGATGTAGTCAACGCAGAACTCGTTAAGTATTCAGATATTAACATATTTCATTTGGTTCTGTTTATGTGCGAAGGCAGCTTTGCTGCAACGCCCTCTATTTCTTCGCACAAATTATGTATTTTAAGTCGAGAGATCGATTGGTTGCGAGTTTGGCTGTTTCTTTCGACGCGATGCGATGTGTTTTGCAACAGAGATTCATCAGCATATTATTGCCTGTAGCAAATTAAATAAATAACGAAAATAACATCAATATTTCGGGGCCAGTATTTTGATATTTTCCTAGTGTCACAGATTGTCTCCAAAAACGATAATATAAATTCATTCCCTTTATAAATAACACTGTGAATTATTTCAGCCTGGGCTGACTAGTGGTCATAATTGATCATTAAAACCGTAGAGTTAAATTGTCTTTATATGTTATTTGCTTAAATTACTTCAATAAGGCTTTGAGTAGGAGGACACGTGTAAATATATATTTCTGACAAATTCTACAAATTCATTTTATTTATTTTAGATTTCAACATAGATCATTCCAGAAAGTAAGGCCGTAATCGGTGTATACGTGTCATCGGAGGGGGAGGGGTGAATAAACTAGCATGACTGGCAGGTGGTGAGTGTTTGTTTGTTTGTTTGAATATTGAAGCGTATATAAATAAATTCTGTTCAGCCTGTAATGTTTCACTTCACGTGAAATTAGAAGTAAACAAGCCACATTTATCATAAATTACATACATTTGTTCATAACCAACCAACCAAATCATATGCAATCATCGTAGCGAGTTCGACGTGTTACAAAATAACATGTACTAACACTACTCTAACTATCAATTAAGAGTTTCGACCGAGAAATACGACAATACCCGTAATCGCGTGTATTGGTCTAGAGTGTTTCTGTCACACCTCCAAAATTTTCTAAACTATAGGGTTAAAACAAGAAAACAAAATTCCATGTATTACTGCTTCCACACTCTATTTGTTTCATTATCAGAAACAGTTTAGCATGTTATGCATACGTGGAAATATGCCCTTCCAAAGATTAACTGTAAATTGAACGGAGAAATGATATTAGGTAGTGAGTCTTTTAATGTTAGTCTGTACTGTATTATTATCCGTAATTGTATAACTATATTAACATCGTCGCATTGCAAATAATGGAAAATGATGAGTCAATTCTCCATTATGGCCGCATTGGGAATTCATTATTTCTATTATACTATACCGCCACCCCTTGGAGGCGTGAACTCAAGGTTTTGGCACGTAACGAGGGATTGTTTTCACGTACACAAAGGGTATAGATAACAAAATAAACATAATACACGAATCACTGCGACAACGTGTTGGGTCTTTTAACAAATTCTACACGTAAAAGGTTCCCTGTTATTTATGCACTTTTCCGTTTGTATGACGTTTGCATACAACGTAATTTTTCATATTATCAACCTAGTAGTTTTTATAAAACAGGAACATTGACATTTATAATAAAGATCTCTGACCTATCATCTTCAAAGGATGCATCACATATGTACACAGACTACTTAAAGCGGGTTTTGTTTACCTGTGACGACATACCTTCTCGCAAAGCTTTTCCTATTCCATTCCAGCCACAGTATATTGTGTGATAATGTAAAAGAATGAAATCACGTAATGTGCAGATATAGATTTTTAAGTATAAAAGTTATATTCAAAACGTCATTCACAATAGACAATGTAGCAAAAACCGAAATCTATAATTGAGCTTTAGCTGGGAAATGTATATCAATCAATATTATAAGAAACCCGTGCGTTTCAGATCGTGTTTGAATAGTTTGATACTGAGATTTCAAATTCCTGTCGCTTGCCATGTGTGTGACAGTGTGATAGGCCCCTCTGGACATTGTTAGTGTCATATATTTAGATCGTGGAAACCGAGGTCAATGATAGATTTCAATTATCATCAAATCGAAAACATGTCGCCAGAACACTGTAGAGAGGTTATTGCCTGGTGACCTACGACAATTATCAACTCGGGTTGTCTAAATATTGACTGGTGAAGAGCTTTCTCTCGAGGTAGATTCTTCTTTTGCTAATTGAATATCGCGTCACCTGGATATATGCTGATTGTTTATTCTGTCTGTGTTTATGTATATATGTATCTAGAACAAAGACGATTAAGCACATCGTGATGGAAACACCACGAAATTTGGATATCACACATGACACACTACCCCGCAGCATGTTAGCTGTCTCGTTAAATTAAATCGATTCTGTCCACGTCACTTTAAATTGTTATGTCAAAACTGTGGAAAAACCAACGATCATTATTTTTTTTTCAAAATTCCATATAAGATAGATATATATATATATATCAGGTAATTATATTAGAACCTATTTAAAGTGAAGAGAAATAAAAAAGTCATTGTGTGTTTTTACCACTCCCAAATATTTTTTAGTCTATAACCCAAACTATAACTCAAATAGACGGATTGTATTTCTGTTGTTTATATATTTCAAAATATGGGACATTTTCAGATCACTAAATATCGGTTTAGAGGCTTATTTTTGAAGAAAAAGAAATTTATTCGGAAGTACGGGTGGATAGTTGTGTCACTTTCGATAGACGCAATGTGTAACCTCATATCAATGACTAGAGTGAGGCAAAGCTGCTCTGCAAGATATTTTTCATTTTAATGCATTCTTAAATTGTTTTATGATACATTATGATTATAGGCATATTTGTTGTAAATTAAACATATTAATATAATTATTTGTATAAGTATATGTATATGTACAGTGATTTTAGTAACGACTGTTACAAGCTGGTTATTATATATATATAAAAAAACTAAGCCTGGTGGTCATAATGACGAGGATACCGAATCAGGTCATATTACTACCCAGCGGAGCGAAACGACAACTCGGCGTAGTCATAAATGGTGGTTACAGTGATTGTGAAATAATAATATTATTATTGTTTCCCCCAATAAGCACTGCATGTCATTTTAAAACTGTCGCCATAAGTCAACCAGACACAGATCCGGTTTGAGGCTCGGTATATCATTATAGCTTCGGTTTCGCAGACAAAAAAAAAACAGTATGCCCTCCCCCCTCTTACCGCCCCTCTACTTGTCATGGTCAGGTAGTGTAATATTTAGAGAAAACGGAATCCAGACGTCAATATAAAGACCTGAATTTCGATTACACCGTGCCCAAAAATGTTATTTATTTGGTATACTCTACCTCTAGACAAGGAATATATATTACTGACCACGGAAAGTGGGATCACTAATATAAACTTACTTAAGGGTGGGTTTCACGGTGTGGACTGTTTCATGATGAGGTTTTTTTTTGAAAAATTGTTGATTTCCACCAACTATTGGTGCCTTGCAGTGTGTAATTAGTATAAGTAATCCCGGGTCACTGATGTCATTCACTTCGAGAGACCCAGTCGCTTCGAGCTGCTGGTGTTCCATTATCTCGGTTATTATTGATGTATTCATCTGTTATTCCAACTTTCATAGTGCGGACTGATATTCATCTGTATGACGTCACAACATCAACAAGACGCACAGGGGCGGGTGTTATATGGAACATTATTGCACGGCTTTCTTGTCGGGGGAGCCGCGAGACTTGTGCTGTTTTTTCCTCTCTAATAGTGTCCCTCTCTGTTCTGTTATCGCGCCGTCGGTTCCAGATACCATGGTTACGTAATCCAGGGGAATAGTGGACGCGATGACTGAAAGAACGGGACACTATTTAGGAGCAAAAACAAGCCTATAAAGTTCATCAAAACAGCAGAGTCGTTACACTGCATCCCCAGCCCAATATTTACTAGTGACGGCGACTCTCAGTCACACATTCTTCAAGATACACTTACTACCCTGACCTGAGCTAAGAGTTTGCGAGACCCGTGTCTGCTGTCAACATTCGTGGCGCCTATAGTTAACATCCTACAAGTTGCAATTATCCCTTTTTGAGCCAGCCAATTAGTATAGTGATTATCAGGAGTAGGCGCTGCTTATATGCATACTGCGTGGGTGTTATCAATAGCTCTAGTTAATGTATGTGGATCTGTACAGTTATACCAGAATGCAATGCAAAAGTAATGATGTGAATATGAAACAACGCTCACATAAGCTAGTACTCAATTTGGCTGGTTCCCGCCGCAAGTGTCATGGCGCATCAAGAGGCCGGTAACTAGTAATGATTACAGAATTCTGATTGGTCCACCATGTTCTCGTTACCTGACGTCAGCACTTACCCTCGTCGTCGTTCCACGTTTAAAGCAGGGGTTTCCCACGCTCTCAAAAGTTGCACGAATATAAAACTGTTTGTTTTTTTAACTTTGCACAAAAATAGCGAAAAATGTTAGAACCACCGCAAGTATGAATTCTAAACATGGGGAATGTTTTCAAAATACGTCCAGTGGCCCAGTGGAACAATATGGCGATTACTAGTTACCTGCGGCCTAATTGACATTCGCATGGCACGCTGGGAACCAGCGAAGTACTCGGTGTACTATGTTATATGAGTTAATCATTAATAATTCTGTAAAAAAAAACAGTTGGTGACAGACAGACTATAGTAAACTTTGATATTAAAGCGCAATTACACTTCAGTTAACATTATATTTAACCTCGGTGACTTCTGTGTGATAAGCAATATACATAGTTTATTATTTTCGATGCGCCAAAAGCCCTTGACATAAATACAGAGACAGTGATTTGAATAGTTGTGAAAACACAAGGGCACGAATCGCGCTTTTGTACACGTTGCGAAAAATACAGATTCACCCATTAGTGTCTGTTATTGCTTTTTCATAACAGTTTATTTTGAAGATTCATTTTTCTTTTACAAAATGTCAGACACCACTCCG